TTTTTCCATTCTTCTTGTGAGTGCCAGGGTTTAACTGATGTCCTGCTGTTAGCAGGACCGTATTTCCAAAGAGAATCGCAACCGGATGCTGGATCCAATCTTGTGAAATCTTTCATGAGGAATGAGAAATTGTTGAGATCATCTACATGGCTCTAGACAGCAATCCTTGCGGGTAGACCGTAGAAACTGCTGTTTTGCTATCAGCTTATGAAATGAGTGGCTGAAAGTTGGAATTCCATCAAGCTCACACTCACAATGCAGCCTTCTATGGACATTAGGCGAGAAATTAAAATTCTCTGGATCAGCAAGGCTTTGCTGTATTCATTCGATGAGTTCTCTTCCCCTTAAGAAGATTTTTATTTTTAAAATTTTGGAAATATATGATTTTTAAAAAAAATTATGCTGCAAAGGTATACTTAGAATAAGGATTTTGGAAAGATAAAGGTTCCAGATGGATTTAAAATTATAGCTTGGAATTAAGTAGAAGAAATTGTCTCATGGGAAATGGCATTGTTTGGGTCTATTTATAAGGGGACTTTGAAGGTTGGACACTAGAGGGAGCTAGTAGATACAGAAATGAATGGAGCAGAAATCTATAATAAAAGTTTTTGAATATTGGTCTCCCAAACTTCTTAAGATAAATTTATGAGATAGACAGAGCATACTTAATGAAGTTACAGAGGAAGAACAAATTTCAACAGATAATTTTGAAATTATTTTGAAGGGGGACTTAAATATGACAAACAATGAAAAGAATATGGAGAAAGATATGGACACATAAATGGAACTGATGGCTGACTTATTCTCTAAAAGCAATTACAAACATTGAACCAGAAAATTGATTTGGATAATTTTTTTTCTAACCGAATACACGAGAGTTGTCAACGCTGCTAATATTGAATGTTCTTGCTTTGATAACAGATGGAAATGTAGCCATCTTTTTTCTTTCGCTTTTAGAGTTAGAATGATGCTGGGAGGGGGAATGTGGATGAGAGTCCAGCTAGTCATAACAATAACTCAGCCACGGGAATCCAAGTTTATTGCACCCAGAGTTGATAAAGATTTGGCGGGCTGGAGAACTGGAGAGGAAGCCCGTGCTTCAAGCTAATTGGGGAATGTGATTTATGACAGTTAATTGGAGGAGGGAATTGTGCTTTGCTACTTTGTGCCAAGGGGAGGAGAATTCAGTTTTTGGCTTCAACTATGTAGTGTGATACTTTGTTTCTCAAATAAAAGATTCTTTAAGGTAAACAATGTCTCAAAGTTCTTTTGAAGAGTTCCATCTGTCAGGAACCATGACAAGAGTGCTATTAAGGTGTTGAAGGACTTTATTAGAAGTGAAAAATAGAAGTACAAACTTTACTTATTGGATATACAAAAGAAATGTTAAAATTTTGAAAGGTTTTTGGCTAGAAGATGAACAGAAAATTAACTCTGGGACTATTTTTGAAGCAGTTAAAAATTAAGATTCTTGAAAACTCAAGGAAGAAATACAAAGTTGGCTTATTTGATTGGGGCTAAAAGAAACAATTATATCTAATTGCTTTTACTGGAATTTTTTTTAGCTGAGAAAGAACAACTGGCAAAACATTTGAATTTTTTTTTTTACTTAAATAAACTATGGGATGAAGAGACTGTATTTATAGTGATAAGCCCTATTAAAATTGCCTTTACTTGCTGGGATAAAGGGGGAAATTAGTTGCTTCCCCCCCCCCCCTTTTTTCATATTTCTTTGTATTTTACTATCTGTATTTTTCTAGCTTGTATTTGATTCTTTTCATTCATAATTTTTAATAAAATCATTGGGAGAAACTATCTCTCTTCTCATTCTCATTTGACAATTCACCTACTACATAAGTTCATCCATTATGAAGATCACATAAATTATATTTACATTTACTTGGATTCATCTGGTTACAATTCTCTAGTTGAGAGCATGTTGAAGTATGAATTGTGAAATCTGATTGCTATTTATCAGTATCCTGGAAGTATATGCTTGGTTAAATATTTTTTCTTTAAGGATTCCAGTACTTATATACTTCACGTAAGTTGTAAAGGATAAAGAACAAGCTATTCAGAGATCATGTCAATTCCTATGCTGTGTAACAATAAGAAGAGCTCAAATGGAGAAAAAACTACCGTGGATTCAAATCCAAGGGTTATTGCTCCAATTCATTTTCTCTGTCGCTTTAGCTACAATATAACTGCATTTCAGCATTCCATAGCAGGTGGCAGTATTTGGCTCAGTTTATCTGAATTCAGAATTTAGCCCTTGGATGGGAGACTCCAGGGAAAGCCATGGCAAATAATTTTTATACTGCTGCCAAGAAAACAGCAGGGATGTGCCCACAAGGCTTCTAGGAGCCAAGCCTGACTCAAAGGAATCTTTTTATGCCATACTGTCAATGGCTGAAACTCACATCTGGATAAGGTTAACTAGCGACCTTGATACTTCAATAAGAAAAAAATCTCGGAAGCAGTAGCATTAAAATTCCATTAACAACTTGGGCGGCTTTGGGAAGGTCAGTATTTCCTAGCTTAGCTTCATTCCTTTAATGAGAATTCAATGCCTTCCTTTACATTTACATTTACAACGGGAGGTTGTGCTTTCTTTTAATGGCAAGTAATGGATAACAATCTTTTACAATTTCCAAACACACACAACACACACACGTAATATTTGTATACTTAGAAGCCAATCATTAGTTAAAATGACATCAAAGGCAGATAACATAGCCCAGGTCTTTCCTAAGGGCTGTCCCATATCAAAAATATGTATTGCTTGCTAAGCATTTTGTTTTAGAGCAAAATATCTGTTCTATTGCATTGACTGCTAGGCTCAACATACATCACTTTATTTAGCCTTCAGTCTATCCCACCAATTCTACAAAAGTCAGTGCTTTATCATCAGGTGCTGACATACTGAAATCCAGGCACATCCACATTAGTAGACCCTGACTAGGTTTAAGGCAATATTTGGAAACACAGACTTTTGGAAACAACGGCAAAAAATCCCCACTATGATCTGGAATGAAGTCTCTCTATAGCTTCCTCCCCATTTGCAGTTGCTTTACTATTCAGTCCAAAATATAATCGGAGCGAAGCAGAAGTGCTCTGAAGAAGTTGCTCAAAGGACATGGATAATGTAACTGGAGTGGTAGGAGGAAAGAATAAATGAACTGAAGTGAGAAGGAAATATCAGGCAAAACAAGTAGAAAAGCCAATTAAAAAAGAAAAGTTTAGCAGATCTAAACATTTTAGAGTTTAGCTTTAGAATTGGTTTGTAAACTGAGATCTTGCAACAAAGAGAAACAGTATTATAATGTTGCAACATTTGGAGAAGATTTCACAGCTTATCTTTACTCCAGCCTTTCCAACAATGTGTTGGACTTCAACCTCTATACAGGTAGTCCTCAACTTACAACAGTTCACTTAGTGATCATTCAAAGTTATAGCAGCACTGAAAAAAGTGATGTGATCATTTTTCACACTTATGACTGTTGCAGCATCCCCATGGTCATGTGATTTACATCAGATGCTTGACAACCAACTCACATTTATGATGGTTGCAGTGTCCCCGGGGTCATGTGATCCCTTTTTGCAACTTTCTGACAAGCAAAGTCAATGGAGAAAACCAGATTCACTTAACAACCGTGTTACTAATTGAACAACTGCAGCGATTCACTTAACCCAAATATGGCAAGCAAGGATGGGGCAAAACTCACTTAACAAATTTTTCACTTAGCAACATAAATTTTGGGCTCAATTGTGGTGGTACGTTGAAGACTACCTATAATTCCCAGCCAGACAGAATGGAGATTGTGAGAGCAGAAATTCAGGGCAGTCTCCAGATAGTAAGCTAAGGAAGGCTTCCTCCCCCCCCCCCATAGGTAGGAAAAGATGTTTTGAATGACAGCAACAAGTCAATTACTGCTCCTCCAAGAGATCATCCCTGGAAAAGATAGAAAGCCTCTATTGTGGTGTAAAGGAGAAGAGGTACAGACGGTGCCTAGGAACTGATCTGATTTCCTCCCTGCCTGCTGCTTTTGTGGCCTAATTCTCAGAAGCACCTGGTGCGTCTTCCGAAAGCTGCAGCAAAATCTTCCCAAACAAAAGCCGCATGAAAGAGGCAACTTGCTCTCTCATAGGCTCGCCTCTACTTTCCCTTCCAGGCTCTATCACATGCACAAGGATGAGGGGGGAGTGACTGCAGCATCGCGGACCAACATCATCATCACGATCACACCATCCAGAGTGGAAACAGCAACAAAGAAGCACCCAGCCTTGCTTTCTCTCCGTGCCATCTTGATCTAGATACCTGCGCCTTATTTACGCACGCAGCACCAACAAATCCACGCAGGCACACATCGGGATCGGGATAAAAAACACAACCCAAACCCAAGGCCACGACCTCCCATTTTGTCCTCCTCCTTTCCCCCACTGACATTGGAAAGGGAATCCCAGAAACCCGGAACGAAATGCAGCAGCTGGTCAAGGTGGGCTTTGAGGGGTGGGAGGAGGGGAAGAAGGAAAACTGCCTCCGACCCAGCGGGGGAGAAAGCGAGTCCCGCCAAACAGAAGAAACGCAGCGGGGATACAAGGCAGCCTTCGATCCTGCCGCAGGGCTCCCCAAAGCACCCGCGTAAAGGGCGAGAGGCAGCGCCAGCCCGCGCCCCCCCCCCCGCTCGCCACCACCTCTGCAGGCGAGAGCCTGCGCCAGATCGCCCGGAATCCCGGGCAGCCACGCAGCCGCCGCTTCCATTGTTCTAGGGCAAGGCAGAGGGAGGAAACAAGCAGATCTCTCCCGAGTAAACAGATCCCGAGTTGTTGGAGAGGGAGCTCAGGAAAAACACGGAAAGCCATTTCCCAAAGGATTCCTCGGGCTGACCCAGCTTCCCTTGGAAACAGGGTTTAGGAGTGGTTATCGCTGCGGGTGGGGGGAGACAGGGGAAGGAAAGCGATATTGCAATGGAACTAGGAGCGACAACCAGGTGGCTTACCCGGCGTCCAAGGCAGAGCCGCTCCTCTTCGCCTCGAAGCCCCGGCTTTCCTCCGCTCCTCCAGCGCACTCGGCTCTAGCTCAGTTCCCCTTTCCTAAATAAAGACGTCTTTCGCCTCCTTGGATTGGTTCGCGGCTCCTACTCCAGCTTCTTCGAGGCTAAAAGAAGAGGGGGGGGGGAGAGCGAAGAGGCGTGGCCTTTTGCCCGGTGCCGGCGACAGAGTCTCGCCTTCTACGCATGTGCACCTTTTTTCTCCCTTCCCTAAAAAGCTGTTTTGCGCCTGCGTGCTCGGGAGAACCTCTGGCCCGGAGACCGTGTGAGTGATAAGGGTTGGGAAAGAGGGGCGGGGGGGGGGCTCGTTTCGGGGTGGGAGCGGTTCCGTGTTTTCCTTGCGGCTTCGAGCTGGAGGACTGGAATAACTAAGATTAGGACGGGGCTTCATGCTACTGATGGGAAAGAAGTTAGGCCGTGCGGGGCGGTCGTATATACAGATTCTTTTGTGGGCAAGCCCACGGGTTTGTGCGAGGCTCACTTCTAAGCCCCAGCAAATGATTTTAGCATTGCAACCTTAACCTCGAGAAGGCCTCCTTTGCACCGCAACCTTGAATGCTAACGCGGGCGTGGAAAATCAGGACGATCAGTTTGAGTAAAATTGCAGCCCTTTGATGCGATTTTAAGTAACTTTACTTACAAATATGGCTGTTGCATTTTATAGGACATCACTCGTGCGGAAGTATCTTTACGATTTCGAATATAAACCTTCCAAAGATCAGAAGACTGGGATCTTGTCTTTGTTTGCTGAGCAATAAGTCCCGGGATCAGCAGAATTTCAAAATAAGATTACATACGTAGATGGCATTAAGCCCATTAAATTCAGCTCAGGCTTGAGGGTCTCCCTTCGGTCAGTGTTCCGGAATTACAGCAATTTCTGTCCTTTACTGAAAACAAAGTCCTCTAGGTTTCATGGAGGTTTCTCCCAAATAAATGTGTAGAAGAAATTTGCAGATGGGGCAAAAAATAATAATGCTTTATTTTCAAATCTGAAATTTGGAGAAATGGAGAGCATAGGCAACTCTCTCTTTATCCCGATACACTTTCTGCCTTGGCTGGAGAGTGTCTTTTTTTTTCTTTGAAGACTTTAATGTAGTTCCGGTTCCCAGGCTTGAAGTTGTTGCAAGCCTAATCTGGATCCTGTAACAAGCACATTTAGTGCCTGCTTTGGCTCTGGGATGATCTATTACCCATTCTGAAAAGAAGATTCACAAAAGAAGATGGATGGGAAACTTTCACTCCTTCTTCCTGGTCCAAGATTGTAGTTTAGGCACCATGGCCAATGATTTTATCAGAAAGAGGCAACAAAGAGAACAGGGCAGCAAGTGACAATTATACTTGGATTGTCAAGAGTAGCTGGTCAAACATGAAGGACAAAGAATCTGAGTCTGCTTTTTTTCCTGAAAGCTACAGTAACATAAAAATAGCAAAATTAACAAAAAGGAATATCAAATTTTGATAACAAGAATATTCTTGTGGATATGTTAAGCATGATCATCTTCAGCAAATGTGTTTAGTATGAGGTGTAATGGTAATGTGAATGACTCTTGCTAAGATTTCATCTGCATGCTTCAGTTTTAAAATTCTGACAGATACTGCACGAGATTTACCCATGTTTTCTTAAAGTTGGGATAGGAGGAAAGGCAATTTAGCATGGTATAAAAATCAACTTTTTTCTCATCTACCTGCTTTATGTTTCATGGGAGGGGATATATGCATAAGAAGCTATGAAAAGGTATGGATAAGGAAAATAGAAATAAGAAAAATGTCCAGGTAAACAAAAACTGTAGGACGAACTAGAGTTTGCTGGCATCAAATTTAATAGCAACTAAATATTTCTTTTTTAAAACTCTAAACAGAAAATTGGTAAGAAACTCTCTGACTAGCTTCTGACATCAATTAAATGTAGTCTGACAGTTAATTGTTGCTTACAATTAACATGAAAAACACAGGTAGTTGTCATTTTGTGATCATCCACCATTACAACAATGATGAAAATGTAATTTTACAACCAATCCTTTAACGACCTTTGCAGGTTTGTAAAGCAAAGGAAGCTGAAATAAAATAAGTACAGTTGTGGTTTAGCGACCACTTTGCTTAATGAACAAATTGCTGGTCCTAATTGTGGTTGCTAAATGAGGACTAACCTGTACCATTGTAGAAAACAATTTTAGAATCTTAGTGACGTCCACAGATTCAAAAAGTCGTGGCTCAGTGCTTAGATTTACTTTGTGGATATCTCACTTTTTCTCTCAAGGCAACAGAGTTGGGTGGGGTCTCCCCTAATTTTATTCCCACATTAACAGCCCTGTGACAGAAATAGAACCTAGAGGAGGGAGGCAAATCCTGTCATGATTTGTATCTGGGAATTAGGTAACTGAAATGGTTTTTGAGTAATTACTCTCTTACTTGCAGGGGATAGCAATAACTGAATCTGACAAACACGGAATAGATGAATAAGCAATGGCAGCGAGTTCAATATCCAACTACAGTGAAGGGGCTTTCACATATAAAGTAGAAATAGATTTCCAAATATTTTTAAGGTGGGCTAGCACAAACTTACCCCAATTCTTCCCCAAATAAAATAGTTGAGGAGAGCTCTCCTTTTGGAAAGTTTGGAGAGAAGTTGAAATGGGAGGCAGGTAACAAAAGAGTCTAGGAGATATTGTGCTCACGGTGATTAAAAAGTGTACAGTGGAAGCTACAATATTCTTCTGTCAGGACAAATCAGGAAAGATTGGAAGAACTGGATTTATGCAGCTTGGATGATAGAAGGGAAAGTGTGGGACACGATTGAAACCTTTAAATATATTAAAGATGTGAATAAGGTTCTAGACAGCAATATTTTCCATATTAAGCAAAAATCAAGAACATGGAGGCATAACCTCAAACTGACAGGAGGGATGCACAAAAGTAGTGTTAGAAAGTATTCACAGAAAGAGTAGTGGAAGCTTGGAACCAACTTCCAGCGGAGCTAGTGGGTTAGTCATCAGTAACTGAGTTTAAACAGCTTGGGATAAACTCAAGTCTGACAAAACTTAATAAATAAAAAAATAATAACTTGGGAAGGGTAGGTGGTTAAAAATGCCAAAACCAGTCTGAACATCTGGCTGACCTTGCGATGAACCATAATAATGAAAAATAAAATAAAAAGATCGATAATTAAAAAATAATAAATTAAAAAGAAAAAAACCTCAAGGGGCAGATTCTGTGTTCCTATGTAACTCTTACAGTTGCTCACTTGATTTCTCCTCTAAGAAAATGGGTAACAATGTTTAACTAGTGTTTTAGGCTATTATTTGATGATGTTGAAATAAGGGAGCAATACTCTGTTTAGATCAGTTCAGCCAGGGACAACTAAAAATGGCTTTGTTCATGAGTTGGCTTGATATAAGGGCAATGTCAGGTGACCAAAGAGGAAATGGATGTTGTGGAGAAATGCAAGTGGGGGAGTGCCTTTAAGTGACATGCTTAAGGGAGTTATGAGGACCTCAGCCAATGAGCTGATAGAGCAGAGAGACAGTGATTGTCTCACATAACAGTGGACATTTTGTACCTAAGCCTCCCCTCACCCCTGCAGAATACTTCAAACTTTGCTGAGATCCAGAGGTACCGGTATTGTTTTATCTCTAGGTTAAAAATAATATTTGGTCTTGGCTGCCCGGAACTAAAGCTGAGATTGTGGCTTGGCAGAAGCCTTCAGTGCTTCTAGAGGAGAGATCAAAATGAGCCAGAGCCTTGAAAAGTTGTCTGTCTGAAAGATAATTTCTCACTCTGCAGTTTGAGGAAGCAATTTGGTTGCATGTTGTTGTTACACAACAAATTGATAGTTTGAATTAATTTTAAGTTAATGTTTGTTTCTTAAGGGCTATCCAAGGGAACTGCCAGCAGAGGCTCTTCACTTTGACCTGCCACATTGCTGTGCTATCTGCTGTGCATGTGAATACTGGTTCAGAATTTGCAGGGTATAGTCCTAGATTTATAAATACAAGATGTATGTTTCTGTCTGAAGTTTCAGTTGTTTGCGTGATAGTCTAGGCAGTTGTGCTTTTGATTGCATCATATGCCACAGGACTGAGTAGCACATCAGATCTGAAGGGATAAGAGGGCATTGCGTGGCACCTGTTCACTATTCCTTAAAGCAGCTGAGTCTTATTCCAGGATCTCAGGACAACCTTCCACAGCTGCAGCATAATCTCAGGGAAAGATGCACTTTATTTAAGGCTGTATTCTTCAAACTTGGCAACTGTGTGTATCAACTCCCAGAATTCCCCACCCAGCTGGCTTCCCTTTGAATCCAAAGTGCTACTATGGAATCTGGTATATGCAAGTATATTTCTTCAAAGATGGTTAGTTGTTTGATCCTGTACAGGCTTTTGTCAGCTGCAGTAGGGATTCCCCCCCCCCCCTCCAGTGGTTCTTAATTCTATGTAGGATTCCAGGAGAGGATTTAGAAGAGTGGAAAGGAAATAGCAAATCAACAAAAACTCTTTCCTAGGTTTTGCTAGATCAAAGATTCTCAGTGGAGAACACAACCTGATTTATTAATTAGGGCTGTTTCAAAAGCATTTGTATAAATTCAGTCAATAAGCTTTTTGGTCAATTAAAAATGTTTCCCTGAATAAGTGAGTAGCATATTAAAACTATGAAAGCACTTAGCGAAGCTAGATGGGACTGTGTAGAGATTGTGTATTGTGTCCTCTGAGACAATGCGCTCTAATACATGTGCACATCTTTAATAAGCAAATATGGACTATTCAGGAAGATTTAATAACAAGTGCCTATGTTATTTCTTTGTGGTCATTTTCTTTGGAAATATGATCCGAGCTATACAGGTAATCTTCGACTTACAACAGTTCATTTAGTGACTAAGAGCATTAAAAAACTGACTTATGATCATTTTTTACACTTATGACCGATACTGCATTCCCATGGTCATGTGATCAAAATTCAGATGCTTGGCAACTGAATCATATTTATGATGGTTGTAGGATCCCAGGATCATGTGGTCACTTTTTGTGACCACCTGATAAGCAAAGTCAATTGGGAAGCCAGATTCATTTAACAATGGAGTTACTGACTTTAATAACTGCAATGATTCACTTAACAACTATGATGAGAAATGTTGTAAAATGGGGCAAAACTCGCTTAATGAATGTCTCACTTAGAAACAGAAATTTTGGGCTCAATTGTGGTCGTAATTTGAGAACTGCCTGTATTCACACATCAAACTCTTATGTCAAGGAATCCCCTTTGGATGGTGGACCTTGTACTTTGTCATTGTTCTGTGTGTGTCCAGATACACACTCATATACATATATTCATATGATTTAAATTGTGTATAAATAATTAACAGTTCCCTCCTCTTTTCCCTCACTAGCACATAATGAAAACAGTAGAAGATAAAAATAAAAAAACTAAGTTATCTTGTCACATACTGTATATGTTACAAAATTAAACTCAAAGTTACTATCAAAGTTTACAAAATCATCATCCTCAACTCTGATGTGGCTCAGATATTAACCTGTCTGGATAAAACTGTGACTCTCTTCCCCCATCACTTTCAAACAGAATTTTTTGTGGCATTTATCACTGTTAACAATACATCTGGGATTAATGAGATTTGCAGTCTTTTAATGCAATCAGTGAATTAAAGTTGGTTTCAAGTACTGATTTTATTTTTTCATTGTCGGTGTGATTGACTAACTTGCAACCAGATTGCAAATAGATGCAAAGAAATTTAAGGGACTCTGGTTCTGTTTCCATTTATGATATATTTCAGGGCAGCATAGGTAAGGCTGCTAGAAACTTAATGGAGAGACAATTGAATTTTAACTTACATTATTTTCAGTTTAATTACACATTACTTGGCTACATAAAAATAATTCATTGCTTTGATATAATGCAGAATATTTGCTCATCAGTTTTTCAAAGCAAACTCTTGTACATTCATGTTCTCAAAAAAGCATGCATAAGACTTTAGCAATTAGAAACAGTTGTTACATTGGTCAGAACATAACACGTATGCATTCTTCAAAACATCTGAGCTCATCCTTTGCATTGTGAAATGTTATGAATGATTGTGAAACAGGAAGGATCCGTCTTGCCCAGTATCCTTAATACGTTAAAAAAGGTTTGCTCTATGATTCTCAAGAAACAACCGGAAGCACACACAGAACAAACTGGAAGCAGTGTATCTAATATATGTGTAGATGGCTTTTGTAAATTAAATTTCCCTTTCATTGTGGGCTTCATATTGTATGAAGAGTCAGACCTTCCTCCAAACAGCTTGGACTGGAAATAGTTCATCTAACAGACAATCATCCAAAATCTCTGATCAAACAGTCTTTTATGGGGAAGGTCACAATGACAACACAATAATTCCCGTGAGTTCTCCACTTCTCAATGAAACACCTCTACATAGGCAATTGTGGTGGCAACATTTAAGTATCTTACAGTCTTACTTTGTGAGGGATTGAACAGGTGAGGCCAGTTCCATCTGTTCACTGTTTTGGTAACTTAGTCATCCTATCTGTGAGAAAGAAATCTCATGGAGGCAACCATTCTCTTCCGTGGGATAGAAAAGATCTATGAAATATTCTGGGGGAAGGTGTTCTTTAGGTGACTTGTCACTTATATGGTGTAGCAGTGCTTCTCAAACTTTTTTCCTTCAGTATCCAAAAGTCCTTATCATAAAGTTCTTATTTAAATGTCCCTATTGGGATTTGATAATGATTTGTATGTCATAACCCCCCAAAATCCCCACAACCCCTACTTGTACCTAAGGTTGGGTAATTCACCCAAGTTTGCGAAGTGCTGTAATGTATCAGTCCATATTCTCATGGGCTTTTGAGAATCTTGGTGCAAACTTTCAGAAACTCCTCAATTGAGGAAAGTGAGGTGCTTCAAATTCTTGTGAGATGTTTGAGAGGAAGCATAAAATATTATGGTGCCAGAGCGGTTGGTACATTAAAAAGGTAAGGTAATTGCACATCTTATTTTTTCATGTCAAGATAAAAATATTTTTAGAAAGATCTCAGGAGGAGAATAAACTAATACAAATTAGTCTTGGTGTCACTGTGTTCATCTACATAATTTGGAGGACTCTAAGGCTTTGTTAGTTGGAATCCAGCTTTCAAAAATTGCTCTATTGCCTTGCATGAAGCCTGCATGAAATCACTGAAGATTTTTAAAACTATATTTAATAAAGTGGTATTGTAACATTGGCTTTTGTTGGCAGGTTGTCCCCCCAGAACAAAAGGATTTTCAGTGTGGTTTTGTTATTTACAAACTCTAAACTGGGACATAATTGGGGGACAGGTTTTTTTTTCTGAGCAACTGACAGATGCTTGCAAAGATAATATGAATATGGAAGTGAGGAGACCTTGCAGAAAGGCTTAACAATTGGAGGAGATTTTGTCTACATTTGTTGAGTCTTTGCTAATCTTGCAGTTTTATTCCCAAACTGGCCTACTTTACAATCTAGCTGTGACAGTCCTGTTTTAAATGATTTATGGATTTTGCAGGTAAGGAAAGGATTGATCCCTCCATCTTCCCTGTAGGTTTTGCTTCCCCAAATTTGCCTTGAGGAATAAACATATGTTTGAAAACCCAAAGCAGTTTTAAAAATATCTATTCTCTTGCTTAGATAAAGTCATTATTTCTGTTCTTTGTGCAGTTTAGTTTAAATTCAGAGTGGATTTGTACCCAAATAATTCCTAGCAGATAAGGGGAATGAGATAAAATAACAATTCTTGAGTCACAGTGTTCAGATGATTTCCTTTTATGCTGATGTAAATGGTTGATTATAAGAGATAAAGTAACTGCAATTATGGCTTAACATTGGAAAATAATTGTGTGCTTGATGTTTCTATTCATGATAACTATGCTACTAGTAATGAGAATGGTCTTGTGTCAAAACTCACTTTTCAACATATCAGCTTTATACTCGGAATACAAATTAGTTCTTGGTGTAACAGTTTTGATCAGTTGATATGATTAAAAAAATGAAATGTCAAGGCCTGCCTGAAATAAAATGGTTTATTATTCTATAAATAATGAAGAATTGCAGATATCCCTTTTCTTGCCTATCTTATATTCTTTCTGTAATCTTTAGAGGAGAGTCTCCATGTAACAGCCAGTTGGAAATTATCAGTTTGGAAAAAAAACTTTACATTTGGAGGAGTACAGAAGAAATTGCAATCAAGGAGCATGTCCCCTTCCAAATGCCCTTGATCCATTTACTCAATATGCTAAACCTTAAAACCAGGTTAACCCAACAGAATTGCTATGTCCACACAATATGCTATGCCTCAATAGATAAACCATATTATATACAGCGGGTGATTTCCTGAAACATTTCATCTTGGTCAGCATGTGGTACAAATCAACATGTGGTGCAAATCACATGTTGAAGGATGAAAAGACAAAAGAAGAAATATTTATATTTAAAAAAGAAAGCAATAACCCCTAATTTTGTGCACAGGTAATTTTTGTTTATAAATTGCATTGAAAGTGGTTCTTAAGTATCCAGGCTCTTTGAAAACATTGCACAGGATGAAAAATCTAAATTGGATTAGGATTAAATTTTAATCCTAATTTCTGAGACTATGTTAATTTCAGATACTGGATCTTTGCTGGGTATTTTAAAGTTATTTTACAGCAATTTAAAGCATGTTGACATCTCTTAAAAACCATTACATATATTTTTTTGAAATTGTTCAATTTTAAAATGAAGAGGGAAAAACTAACAAGAACTAATAATTAACATGAAAATAGATAAAAAGAAAAAAAGTAAAGAATGAAAAAGAAAGCCAAAGCTGAAAGTGCAGAAAAGTACTATATGATAGGTCTTAGATAAAGAGGCGTTTCCCACCACACAGAATTTGGGGTGTCTGAAATGCTTCAGAAATTTCCTGACAGAACAATTAATCACTGGAACAACCTGCCTCCAGAAGTTGTGGATGCTTCAACACTGGAGGTTTTTAAGGAGACTGGACAGTCATTTGTCTGAAATGGTATAGGGCAGGGGTAGGCAACCTTGCCTCTTTTATGACTCGTGGACTTCAACTCCCAGAATTCCTGACCCAGCCATGCTGGCTCAGGAATTCTGGGAGTTGAAGTCCACGAGTCATAAAAGAGCCAACCCTGGTATAGGGTCTCCTGCATGAGCAGGGCATTACACTAGAAGAGACCTCCAAGGTACTTTTGAACTCTGATGTTCTGCTATTCTAGTCATCATATCCATATATCATAATTCCATTTTTTTTCTGTTTCAGGCAGAAAGTCCAGAAGGGGTTTCTAATCGGAGTTAAAATTAATGTCTTTTCTCTAATCAAAGCTGTCAGATTCACCATCTCAGCCGGCTCCAACAACTTTCGCCCTCCATTCTTCCATTGTAAGTAATGTCAGATCTTTCCACCTTTGTGCATACAAACATTTTGCTGAAGAAACAAGGTACCATGAGGGGTTCCCCCCCCCAGCTGTTTATCCATCAGTTCCAAAAGAAGTACCTTGGGTTTCTATTTTATATTGGTCTTTAAAATCTTCTGCATTAATTTGAATCCTTTTTTTAAAAGCATTTTTACAGCTGTACCAGGCATGATAAAAAGATCCTCTCTTGTTGTTCACATTTCCAATTTACATTTAAAGTACCTTTACCCATTTTAGACACTTTTTCCAGTAACAAATATCACTGGTCCATCTTTGCATAAAAAATATCTTTACAATTATAATGTGTGAATTTCAATCCTTTCATCCATGTATTTTCCCATTGTTCCATCTGTATATTATATCCAAAGCTCTTATCCTGCTTTAACATAGGGGAGGAGGCAAAAAAAGAAGAAAAATCTGATTTAATTGTAATTACTGGTAGGAAAATAAACCCTCAGAAGCCAAACATACACTTTATATATGGCATTTATATACACACAGATGCAAAAAAGGAAGCAAAGCAGAAGAAAAATGATTCTAATATGGAAATGATAATTTTCAATTTCACTGTAATAATTCAGTGTTTTTAAAAATGAATTTTACATGATCTATAGAAAATGCTATTACTTAATCTTGCAAGTTCTTGATACAAGGCTTGTCTGGTTTATTTTGTACCATTTTGTCATGAAGCTTTATATTCCAGAATTCCAGTTGGAAAAGATTTAATCACTGAACAGAAAAAGAGTAAATTCCACCCCTGTATATTATTGGAATGCAAATAGTGGTGAAGCAGACTGCCCATTTACTTGATTTACATTTTTTTAAGGTAAATGTTCCAGCAGTGTAAAATTGTGAGATGAGCAGCTGCCTAAAATAAATAAATAAAGCAAATAAGCAAATATTTACCACCTTGATTGCTAAGAACACTTTCTTTCCAAGTAGGTAATTTTGATCCAGAAGATCTTGCTCTATGCATCTCGAAAATGTTTGTAATTCTGTTGTATCTTATGAATCTACCAGACACTCCAGCATTTACAACACATATGTACACATACATACCATAAATTTAGTCTTAAATGACATCAGTATTTTGGGAGTGGCTTAAAAACTGGACAGATAATCTTCCTGATAGGTATTGTACGTTGTATTTGGAAACTAGGAAAAGAATAAAGATTCCATAAAGAATAAAAAAATAAGGCCTAGGGTAAAAAATAAATAGTGTGGTAGTAATGCAAATGTAGCTGAGTTATTAAATTGGCCAAAATAAACTTTAGTACAGTATATTCACAGGACTTACATTAAGAGAGCTAATCAGATTGGGAATAATTGTGTCATTTTAAAAAAATCTATATTCATAAAATGGATTTCTATTCCAGAAGTATCATTGGGTGATTTTTATTTGGTGACTTTTAAATTTTTTATTAAGCTTCTAAATTGCTGATTAGAAATCCCATATCACTGCAAATAAAGCGAATAAAGCAGTTAAACAAACGTACCTTTAGTTTTGGTACCAAATCAGCTTTTAAATTTCTGCAAATCACACTTTTTTTAAAAAAATGCTCACACTAGTCTCTCTGAAAAAGTAGTAAATAACAAAGAGATGGGTATCTCTGTCAGCTCTTTGAATTTTTAAAAATCTCATTCCTTTTATAGCTGTAAAAACCAGCAGTTCAGAACCCGCTGGAGACCATCAGAGTAGAAAATGCTGTGCTAAATGACTATGCTCCTCCACAATTAGCAGCTAACAACCAGCAATTGTGAAAGCAGAAGGTTATTTTGACAATGAGGATCTGTGCCCTTGAAGAAAGCAGCCCTGCAGTGTGTTTTTTCCCCCCAAGTACAGTACCATTGTGTTATGTGTAACTGCCTTGCATTAAATCTGCTGTATTTATTTCTTTTGGGGGGCTGTTGTGACTTAACAGTACGATGCAAGCATCAGATCTTTCAAGGGAATAATAGAATGAAAAATTCTGCTTTTCCCTAGAAGTTCGCTCTAAAATAAAAATTAACCTTTTTTTTTTGTTTGTTCTTTTTTTTACTCAGGCTTCTGATTGGAATCCCGATGGTTCCTTTGTATCGGTACCTGGGATTGGCTCTTCCCCAGTTAAGCAGAGCAACAAATCAACGAAATTTCAGGTATTTATTTTATTGTGTTTATGCCAGTGTTTCTCAACCTTGACAATTTTAAGGCATGTGGACTTCAACTCCCAGAATTCCACAGCCAGCAATGCTGGCTGTGGAATTCTGGGAGTTGAAGTCCACATGCCTTAAAATTGTCAAGTTTGGGAAACACTGGTTTATGCCCTGTCTTATCTCCAAAGTGTTTGGGACAATTTATACGTGGTGACCCTTCATTTTATTCTTGTTATCCTGTGAAGTAGATTGGATTGAGAGAAAGTGATTGACTCACTTTGTGGTTAGGAGGGGACTGGGTCTTTTTACAGACTCTTCTCCAGGGATTTAACCCTGTACAGGTAGTTCTCGACTTAAAAACAATTCGTAGTGACTGTCAAAAGTTAACAACGGCACTGAAAAAAAGTGAGTAATGACTGTTTTTCAGAGTTACAACTGTTGCAAGCATCCCCGTGGTCATGTGATCAAAATTCAGGTGCTTGGCAACTGGCATGTGTTTATGATGGTTACAGTGTCCCAAGGTCATTGACTTTTGCAACCTTCTGACAAGCAAAGTTAATGGAGAAGCCAGATTCACTTAACAGCTGTCTTATTAACTTAACAACTACAGTGACTCACTTAATAATTGTGGCAAGCATGGAACTTTCTGGAAGGACGTAAATTGGGGCAAAATTTCCTTAACAGTTATCTTGCTTAGCAACAGAAATTTTGGGCTCAATGGTGGTTATAGGTCAACCACTATGTATTCAGAAGCTTTCAGGCACACGTCTTAACTGCCCATCTTCCTCCTAGAACAGTGTTTCCCAAACTTGACAATTTTAAGGCATGTGGACTTCAACTCTGGCTGTGGAATTCTGGGAGTTGAAGTCCTCATGCCTTAAAATTGTCAAGTTTGGGAAACACTGTCCTAGAACACACTTGGCTTTTGAAGCACAGTAGATGGTACTTTAATTTCTTTAACTAGTGATCGATGCAGTAATCTTTATGTTCCAAAAGACTCATTAGATTTGCATAGGTAGAGGTATGTGCTCTTCCCCCTTTATCATTATGTTGCTGCTGTACAAGTATGCGGGCAATATTTCTGCAAAATACTTGATGTTCAAGAGGGAACGAAGACCCTTGACATTTGTGATTTATCCATTGTGTAATGAATAACTTGGTGGAGTGAGAGAAGCCATGGGAGAAAGGCTGGCTGTTCCTCAACGTTTGGAGTGATCCTTGAAAACTAAAAAGGAGAAATGGCCTTGGAGGCCCTGAAGCCAGTTAAGTGTCTTCTGCAAAGGTCAGTATTTTGCAAGATGCAGTTCATAGCAAACATATTTTTAAACCAATAACTCACCTAGAATATTCTTCAGAGTGAAAATATAAAATAGTTTGCTTCTGTTTTGTGGCTTCATATTGCTACTTTATCTGTTTGGCATCTCCATATTCAAAGCCAGATCCAGAACACCAGAAGGTTCCACGCTGCTTATGGTCTCACAGCACACTAACTTCTAATATGTTTTGTTTGATTTGAACTGTTAATTCAAGCATTACAGTTTGTCAAACATGTTGTATAACCTTAGTGTGAATCAGGTTACTAGGGCTTACTCAACAAACTGACCAAAACAGAGTATGCCATTATAAGATGGGAAAGTCAGCCGTGACCAACTGACCTGAACCTGACTTCTCCAGATTTGTGATTTCTAGTGTATCTAGCCAACATGGTCCTTGGCTGAAAAAGTCCAATGGGAATAATCTTCGTTATAGATATGCAGTAGAAATTGAGACTTTCAGGGAATCTTGGAAGTGTAGCTGAAGATACATAATGATGGACCAGCTTCCTTGGAAGTTTAGTTTTGCGTTATTTTTCAGTACAGATAGTCTTCAACTTAAAACCATTTGTTTAGTGACCTTTTAATTTACAACGGCACTGAAAAAGTGACTTATGACCAGTTTTCACACTTACAACCGTTGCAGCATTCCCTACGGTCATGTGATCAAAATTTGGATGCTTAGCAACTGGTATGTATTTATGATGGTTGCAGTGTACTGGCATCCTGATGAACATACTTTTGACAAGCAAAGTCAAAGGGGAAGCCTGTGTTTCTAACTTAATGACTGCAGTGTCTCACTTAACAACAATGGAAAATGAAATGGGGCAAGCTCACTTAGCAACTGTCTTGCTTTAGCAATGGAAATTTTGGGCTTTACTGTGGTTTACTGTCAAGGACTACCTGTAGTATACAGTCACAATGAAACATCCTGACATAAAATCAATGGAGCTGTGCAATACCTTGGAAAAAGATGCACCCACAGAGCAGCTGCTGATAACTCCTGAAACCAAGTGCCTTTTTTATGGGATCACAATGCAGTAATAGAAAGCAGCCACAGCATCTCAGAGAAAAGACTTAGCTGCTTTGCTTTGAGGAGTGGCTGACTGGTGCCCTTGTGTGCTTGGAAATAGCTGTCACCCTTTGAATCCAAAGAGCCGCCCTTCGTGCACAGAGTTGCATTAAAGATTCCTCAGATATAAATCACTCCATGAGAAAAAAGAGAATACAAATATATTTAAAACAGTAGTTATTCGTACTACTGTTAGTAGTTAGAAGTAGTTATTCTAAAGTCTGTTAGGATTAAAATGTGTGTCTTGCATAACTAGAGTTTTTCTAAAAAAAAAAAAAAAATCAAGTGCTTTACTTTATAAAGTGCACCATACATAAATCGATTTTAAGAGACAGAACCCTGAACTCATTTGTTAAAACTCAAAAAATATTTGTATCCCTTTTTAATTATGGGTATAAGTACTGTAAAAATGAGTCAGTGACTCTCACAGTTTGCCTTTCCTCTCTTTGTAAAAGTACAGAGCTTTTATAGTAAGTATATTGTCTATTTAGAAGTCCCATTGCTTTGAAGTGGGGGTACTGCATGCTAAGTGTTGGTCGGATTGCAACTTGATTCCTTTGGCCAGATCCCTTCTGTTTAACTCTTTAATGCTAGCAAACAGGGATGGAGGTGAGTGTGGGGTAGCAAAGAACAAGACAGGAAAGCCTGCCAAATAAAATATTTAATCAGTGTTAAGTTTCTGTGTGAGAATCAACCTTCATAATGGAATGGGTGCTTTCTTTCTTCATCTCTCACTCTCCACATATATGCATATATGGATATATGCATCCAGACACACACACACACTGTTAAAGTGATAGCATGCTTCCCTAACATCTTTTTATATGTTTATTTTCAGTCCCTCATATTGCTGGTTTAACATTCTGGCATAGTATTGTTTTTATCCTGAAGGAGATTACCTTGATGCAAGTTTCTCAACTTGTTGCCTTCCAGCTATATTGAATGACAACCTTCCCATACTTCCCCAAAACTATGGCCAGTATTTGGAGGGCACAAGGTTGGAGATAAAAGAGAACACTATACTTTAAATGGATCCTGAATTGAGACTTCTCTTCTCTTTTATCAGCCTCAGCAATGTGTGCAGTTATATCCAGAAGCTGACTCGTGTGCGAGTGATTGATAACAGCGCCTTGGGAAACACACCATATCACCGGCCTCCAAAATGTATCCACGTCTACACCAAAAACGGAGTGGGCAAAGTGGGTGACCAAATTCTTCTGGCTATCAAAGGGGAAAAGAAAAAAGCATTAATTGTCGGATGCAAGTTTCCCGGACCTCGCATGTCTCCTCGGTTTGATTCTAACAACGTGGTTCTCATTGAAGATAATGGGAACCCCATCGGGACACGGATCAAAACGCCCATACCTTCTCTGTTGAGAAAAAAAAGAGAATTCTCCAAAGTGTTGGCCATTGCCACCGACTTTATATGATCACCAGGGGAGACACTGTGTGACAAACAAAGGGATGTTGTGGGACTGTCCCTTGAGTTGCATTTCTCTTTTCTTTCCCAGAATCGAGGAAGAAGTGTTTGAAAAAAAGAAGGAAGAAGATAGTTGGGGGGGGGGGAGTGCTAAGACATATTTGAGGAAATACACTTTTCATTATTTTGGGTAACTTGTTCTTCTTGAACTAGTTTAATTAAAGATAAAGTGCTAAATAAGTGGTTGTATGTTTTATGTTTTTGAAAGAGGTGGAAAAGGCTAAAAAGGTGGGAGGGCTATTAAGAAAAAAATCATCTGTTGTTCTCTGTTAATCTCCAGTTATTTGGGGGTTATTTCTTTCACAGTTTTATTCTGTTAAAACAGTCTGTGTATTCTTCAGATTCCAACCAGCAAAAACTTTATAAGTAAATTCCAGCATGGTTTTATGCTAAAGAGAAATAAAAAAGAAACGGCAAATAAAGAAGTCATAAATAACATTATTATTCCCACTTCTCTCCCTTTCTGACTTTCTTAGAAAATACTTTTTTCTTACAATAAGGGTTCCCCACTATGTTATTTTTTTCTGTCACGTTTTCATTTCTTCTTTTGCATTTTCATAATTTGTCTTCCCTTGTTGTTTTACAGATACTTTCTGTGTGCTGAACTAAATCCATGATTTGGGATTTTACTAACCGATATGAAGGACCCAGGTCATCTTATTAATCAATGGGTTAAACATTATTCAGAGTTGAGAATAATGTATGTTTAATTTATGCATAAGATTTCTATCTTATCTTTCCCTCAGGAGCTCAAGGTAGCAAAGATAGCATATCCTCCTCCCATTTCCTCACAACTTTTGTGTGAGATAGATTAGGCAGAGAGTTAGTGAGTGACTCAAAGCCCCTCAGTGAATTGCTATGGCTGAAGGGGTCCTGAAATTGGTTCTTCTAAAATCTAGTTCAGCACCTACATCACATTGTCATTTAAGGGTGGTAATTTAAATAAAAATGTTAGAAAGAAAGTGTATGTGTATTGCATGTTTGCTTCCCCCAGACTAATGCTCTATAGATATGTTGTGCTCTCATCTTATGCAGGTTGCTGGTTCTGGATCATGGGAATTGTAATTCACTTGGGGACATGGATTGCAGAATGCTTCTGAAATGCTTTTTCAGAATTGAATACTGATACTATGTCAGTCTTTCTAGCCTTCATAAATTATGAGACCTTAGGATATTCAGTTACCCATGTATCATCAGGGTTGATTTCCAATTGCTTAGTCCTTTTTATCTTTGCCATATAAACCCCAATTATATATTGATAGATGAATAAATTAGGGGCACTGAACGTAAATTATGCAGATCTCATGAGTAGATTTATGACCTCTTATTGAAGAATAGCTTCTGACTTCTGACAGGTATTGCTATGCAAAGCCTTTTCATTCTGTTTTACTTTGATGCAGAAAATAAATTGTAAGCAGAATAATCTGCTTAGACAAAACTTTGGATTTCAACAACATGGAAGTCTAAATCTTTGGTTGTACCTACACAATATTTACACTCTGTGTAACTCTTCCAAAGGATGTTAGATCTAAGGACTGATATTGTAGAAAAAACCCGTAAGATAGTAGGAAAAAAATTGGAGATTCAATATTTAGTATTTTAAAAGCAAAGTTAGCATGTAAAGAACAAGAGTGAATATCCTTAGTTGGTTTATTCCAGAGGTGGCTGGGGAATTCTGGGAATTGAAGTCCACAAATCTTAAAAGTTGTCAAGGTTGAATTCTCTTCGTTTATTCTGTGGGGAGCATAGAGGATTTTTTTTTCTCATTGTGCCATCTTGTGGTGATCCATGTCTATGTACTTCTGGCTTGATTTCAAGAATTTTGTTTTCGTTGAGAAGAGCTTTTAGTACTGAACATATGTAAAGTGCTTTTATTCTCCTCTATTAACAAAGCACTTAAGCAGTTGTGTTAAAGGAACAAAGATAAAAATCACTGAATTCCCTCTTTTTTATGTTTATTTATAACATTTATTTATTTCTAAAATGTATTGGCTGCCCATCTTACCATATGGTAACTCTGGGTGGCTTATGCAATCATAAAAATATACATGTACAATTAAAACATAAATAAATTAAAACCAATAATTAAAATATAAGGGCATGTGTGGAGGGTGGGGGCAGAGTAGGGGGAGGTGAGATCTGTTATTACTTGATCAACTACTTCCATTGCCTTATTTCCCCACTGGGGCCCAAAGCCAATTAGCAGAGCCAGTTCTTTAGGTCCTTACAAAAGGGTAGGAGGGTTGGGGCCAAGCTCACATCGAGGGGCAAGATGTTCCAAGGGCAGGAGCATGAAGTTATGACCTCTTGAACCCCAACACCAGAATAATTGGGCTGATGGGACCTGCAGCATGTCTCTTCTGCCAGCATGAGGGGGATGGGCCAATCCTAGTGGAGTGAGATGGTCCCTCAAGTAACCTGGACCCATGCCATGAATGGCTTCACTAGTGATCGCCAACATCTTGAATTGCACCTAGAAGTAGACTGGTAACCAATGCAGCTCACAGAGCAGTGGTGTTACTGAGGCCATTCTAGGGCCCCCCAAAATTACCGGCACTGACGCACTCTGTATCACTCAGTAATCAAATCAGTATTATTACAGGTGACTTTGCTCTAGTGAAGTTGTCTCTTTTCAAGTCAGTTGCAATGACTGACATGGTTCTCTGGAATTACTATACATCTTAAACATACCTTAATGCATATTGTAAAGGAATATAGAGCAGAACCTGTGCAAGGTATGAATGAAGGATTGAAGAAGGATTTATGAAAGAGATTGCACAGTCCGGAGACCAAAGGAAGTATGAGAAAGAATTCAACATAATCCCTCCTTGGTTTTGTATACTGTAGTATAAGAAAGTATAAAACAAAACTTGGACAGGCTTTTAAAATTGGTATTACACTCCACTACAATAGTATTCCTGCAATCCTTGTATCTGTTTTTTTGACCAGCTCTACCTGGAAGAGCTGACATCAATCTTGAAACTGTTTGTTGTTATTCTTACTAGTACATACCTTTCAGTTACAAGCTGTACTGCATAAAAAGATTGTACAACAGTGTTGAGATCATATTATGGGATGACTTAAAGAGAAACTAGGCCATGTGCTATAAACTGCAATACAATAGCAGTGGAGAAATCTGCCTATTCCCTCCCACCCCGGGCTTAATTGTTGGAAGTTTTAGTAACTATTGGATATCTGATTCTCTCTCTTCTCGATGATTTCTATAATTCTAATTTAAGATGCTGCCTTCATATTCAGACTTTGACCAGTTCATTTTCTGCTGGTTTAGAGCAGAATTTTATCTATGTTAACACAAATATTTTGGCTCAATCATACCTTTGAACTGATTTTTTTTTAGTTGCACCCATCAAAAGATTCTGAATTTAGCTGCCCTTTCTAAAAGGCCTATAAAACCAGTAGCCCCAATTGAAGTTGACGTTCTTTACCCTGTAGGTTGGAACTCAGTTCCACTGAATTTGGCACTATTTGAGAAGATATACATAGGATTTTGCTGTTCAACTTATTTTTAGTAAGTTCTAATTTAATTTAGGGATAGCACAATATATTGTCTCTAGGAAAACATCAGGGCTACTGCTCTAAAAGTCAAAGACTTTGATAAAAAGGACTCCTGGCGAATTGTATCTATGCAGTTTTCTTGGCAGTATTAGGGACGTGGCTTGTCATTACCTTGTTTGGGGATTATATTCTTGGATTTTCTGAGTCCAGTCAACTTTACTAGAATTCCCAGGACATTTCTCATCCTCTGACCAGAGTTGAACTTGTTTAGCTTCTGAAATCAGCCGTGGATGACTCAGTGGCTCCACTTGCTGAGGCATACCATCATGTGGCATCTGTGCTTATTCATAAGGGATTTGACTTCTCACTCCCTTTAAGAAGTACATAAAAAAAAAAATGACTCATCATAAGATAGAATGATTAAATATGGATTTCCCATTTTTCTCAATATTGGGTCTTTGAAAACTCTTTCCCTTGAATAAATTTTATTCAAGACAGTAAATTTTACTTAAGAGGAAAGAGATCCTGGATTGCATTGTGATTCTCTGTATTATGAACATGGAACTCCACAAAATTTAGAGTCCTGAACAAGGAACCACAGTTTCCTGTGGTAGGAAAATTCATGGAATGAAATTTAAGCCACAGAGGCAGTCTTTTGCTTACAACCATTTGTTTAATAACAGTTTGAAGTTACGATGGCCCTGAAGAAAGTGACTTATGATCTGTCCATGAAGTTATCTGACCATGATCACGTTATCGCAGTTCAGGCACTTGGCAACTGGCTTGTATTTATGATGACTGCAGCATTCTACAGTCACATGACTTGTGCCCTTTCCAGCTGGTTTCCAACAAAGTCAATATGCTGGCTCAGGAATTCTGGGAGTTGAAGTCCACAAGTCATAAAAGAGCCAAGATTCCCCATCCCTGCAACAGGGGAAGCCAACAGGGAAGGTTGCAAATCATAATCACGTAATATCTTGCTTAACTACAATGGGAAAGAAGGCCATAAAATGGAGAGCAGCAATGTGATGCCTCAGTTAACTACTATGCTGCTTAATGATGAATTTTCTGTTCTCACTTGTGGTTGAGGATTACCTGTACTGATTAAGGGAAAATTCACAGATTGTTTATTATCCTCTGCAATCAGTATATATATTGATTGTGTCTCAGTACACAGCATGTATCTTCAAGTTGATCGGATGAAGTTAACAGTACTGTATGATGGCTGGCAAGACAAATCTTTTCTGTACAGTATAGTAGAGATTCTAACCTGCAGAGAATTGCAATAACTTTCAGAGTAAGTGGTAAAAAGTTAATTCACAAATGAAATACTATATAAGTTGTGTGTTTATGAAACTAAGACAAAGGGAAAAGATGTAATAGATTTGAATAGTGATATGATCTTGTGGAACGGAGTTGATATCTTTAGGGGAGTGAAGGTGCAGGTTTTATTTTGAAGGAAAGAGCTAAGGTATATCAGAAAGTTTGAACTTGATATCATCTAAATTGCTGTGAGTGTGTTTAAAAGTAAGAATCCATAGCTTGATGATAGCCTCTTGTTACATTCCAGTGAATGATGACAATCACAGTAACCATATTTTCTTGGAAAAAATAAAGGGGCAAGGCTAAAAAAGAGGAAAACCTGTAAGCGTTTCATAATGCTAAAAAACAGTTCTTTAGGTTTAAACCAAGAACAAACCCAAGGAAATAAATAATTAAATAATCTAAGGGACAGCTTTCTGACATAAAAGACTGTCCTTTATGATTATTTTAGCTGTATATTGCCTAGAGTCATTCTGTGAGTGAAGGGTGGTATCTGAATTTGACAAATAAATAACAAAGATGTACTGTATATGGCCACTGTAATGATAATGGAAGAATTAGGCTTCATTTTGAGGAAAATTACAACATGAATGTGGAGA